ATAAAAGACATCATAGTGCTTCATTCAGCCAAATCCAGACTATGGAAAACTGAAAAGAGCACAAGATCTGTTTCTTTTCAACAACAACAAAACAATGGCAAGAAAACAGGTCACGTGGAGAGGGCCTACAGGTGATAGAAGATTTAATTACAAAAAGTCACTATGTAATACTGTATTTGGGTACTCATCCAAATAAATAAATAAAACAGTTGAACACTTGATAATCATTTATTTATTTTTTAAAAATGAGAATTATATTGGTTTTAATAGAATTTCCTTATCTTTTAAAAATGAATATTGAATTATTTAGAGATGAGGCGGTATGATGTCTTTGATTTGCTCCAAATTATTCCAGCAGCTGAGTTGCAGTTAGGTGAGTGTTTAACTGGAACCGGATTTGCCATGTAGGTAAGGTTGTTGATGCTGAGTGTCAGGTGTGCTGGATTCATTATATTAGTCTCTATTATTCTACATGTGTGAGGCTTTCCCTGATAAAAACGTTTTTTATAAAAGTGAAATTATTTTGTAGAAATAAAATAAATAAATGACCAAATTGGTCCAAAAAGAAAACTTGAATTAAATGACACAAACTGAAACTATACAATATTCAAAGCTCAAGCCACCCTCAAACATTCCAGGTTAGTCAGTTTTGGAGGCTGATTCTACCAAATGATCAGGAAAAACTAACCACCATCTTATCTCAACCCTTCCAAAGCACACAAAATATAGATAATTTTTCAATTAATTCTCCCAGACTAACCCCTCCTGGATTCAAAAACCAGGTGAGGACCATCCCCTATTTCTGATGGAAGAAACACATAAAGCAAGCTCTCTTACATGGCAGCAAATACTTTATGTAAATTATTAGAATATTAAATGTACAAACAACTCTGCCCAAGGAATGAAAATATGATTCAACATTTGAAAAAAAAGTTTCATTGTAATTTTTTACATACTAAATAGGTTAGAATAAAATTGATCACATCAATGGGAACAGGAAAAGCTTTTGAAAGAAATTCAATATGAGTTCATGATAAAAGTATTTAGTTAAGCTACATTGACAGAGAACATCCATTTCCTAAAATCAACAGCAAGCATATTTAAATGTGACAGGTTCAAAGAATTATCATTAAAGGCAGGAACCAGAAATAGATGTAGGCTATTATCTCAATGTTTAAAATCATCATGGAGAAAAAATCAGAGTTATAAGCATCATAATTAATAAGGGGCATGAATATTGGTAAAACACATAATGTTTAGTGATAATACCCTTATCAGCCTTGAAAATTCAAATAAAAAGGGACGTCGAACATTTAAGTGAATGGGTTTCAGAACCAGGTGTACAACAGATAACTTTGCAAAATCGAAATCTCTGCCACACAATAGCAATAACTATTAGAATTAATTTCCATTAGTTAGAACAATTAATAGAAAATATACCATTTGCAATAGTAACAAAATCCAAGAGTTAACAACAACAACAAAAAAAAAACCCTAAGGAAAATGTGTAAGGTCTTCCTAGAGGAAACTGTCAAAGTATACTGATAGATCCAGGTAAAGGGAGTTTGAAATAAGTAGAGGAGCATAACATATTCATTGATGGGGAGAAGAATATTTAAAAATGTCAATTCTGCTTAAATTATTTGCAATTTAGTGTCTTACGTATAGCTGCCAAAATTACAGTCAAACTTAGGCTGCTGTTCTCTGCTTCCCAAATCAATTCTGGAAAATTATGGAAGAGAAAAAGAAAGAAAAAAAAACAACAATATCAGCAATAAAATCTAAGTAACAAAACAGAGAAAGCACTAGGTGAGAATGAAGACTGTGTTGAACTGGTACTTGTGTTTGGGGCGGTGTCAATTGGAAGAGGGTTGGTGGCAGGGATGTTGAAGATGTCTATAGCCTGCCTAGACATCAGATGACAGAACGAATAGGATGAACGTTTAAAATTTCTACCTCACTGCATTGCACAATCTGAGGCAGCACCTTAAAACACGGTGCCAGAAGCCCTAGGGTAATAGCAGGACACCAGGAAAATTGGGTTGGTTAAGGCAGCATGGTTCCAGAGTTTTGCTAATGACAACCTGAAACCAACTTAGTGGGTAAGAATTGACATGTTTAAATAATTCTTTCACCAGAACATAAACAATGGAATAGAAGTTGAATAGGATGTCAGAGTGAATCATGCATACTAAGGGTAAGTATTCTTTCATAGAAATAAATATATATATAGCTACCTACATATATCCTTGGAAAATATGCAAAACATATTTCTTTGAGGAAAAAGGGTTTGCAAAGTCCACCTCTGGCTGGGGAGGAGCCTCCGGGGTAAGGTATGTATATTCTCCCAGAAGTCACTACAATCACAGGTGCTGCAGCAACCCAGGGAACACCTCGCCTGGTACCAGCAGCCATCTTCTGCAAGGGGTACTGCTGGAGATAAATGCTCAGATGAGATAAACAGAGCACGTCCAACCTATCACTTCAACAAAGAGCTAGGACCCAGGAAGAGGACCCTCTTGAGTGAGGACGTAGGGTCCACCCTCCCCCACATAGAGAAGCCACAGAATCCAGCTTAGCTCTTCCTGTCAGTCCCCGAAGACCCCAGCAGCCTTGTCGCCCAAGGACACCTGTCACCCCACTGCCACCTCAGGAGACTTGGAGTCAAAACCTTGGTCTGAAGGGAGCAGACACCACCGGCAGAGAACAGGGGTCCACGCTATGCCAGGAATCAAGGTCAGAACTCTGAGGGAGGACTGAGGGGCACCCCCACCCCAGGGGCACCCCTACCCCAACCCCTACCCCCAGGATCCCTTGTCTCAACCCCACCCCAACTCCCACCCTGGCAGAATCTGGTTCCCCTCCTGCTGTCAACCCAGGTGTGACATCACTGACCCGGATGTGATGTCGTGACTTGTGCATTGGGGATCAGAGAGAAACGAGGTTGTCAGTTTGACCAGAGCAGCTCGAGATGCGCGAAGGGAAGCGGGCACACGCTCTGTGACGAGGCAAGGGGGGTGGCAGGCTCTGCCATGCATCAAGTCAGGACCCTAAAAGAGGGTTGAGGGTCCTCCACCCGCATCCCCATCCCCAACCGCATTCCCATTCCCTTCCACACTCTCAACGCCATCCACACCGCCATCCTCCAGCAGCACCCGTATCCTCCCCAACCCCCCACCACCGTCATACCCTCATCCCTCACTCAAAAACCCCATCCCCCCACCACCCTAGGGCAGCATCCAGTTCCACCCCCGCTTTCAACCTAGGGAAGCTCCAGGTGCCCAGATGTGACGCCACTGACTTGCGCGTTGGGGGTCAGAAGCAAGATTCCTGGTCTGGTCTGACCAGCAGCTTCGGATTGGCAGAGGGAAGGCGGCCCAGGCTCTGTGAGGAGGCAAGGTGAGACGCTGACGGAGGACTCAGGAGGCCCTCACCCCAGGTAGATGATCCTAAATAATCTGGCACCACTTCTGCTTCTAGCTCTGGGCCACTTATGGGCGGACTTCTGAGTCTGGGAGGGGACCCACTACCTCACTGCCCCTTAAGCTGCAGGGGACTCTGGAGTCAGAGCTTGGTGTCATCAGTGCAAGACTGGTGGGGGCAGGTTCTGCAGTTATCAATGTCAGGACCCTAGGAGAGGGCTGAGGGTCTACCACCCACATTACCATCCCCTACCCCGTTTCCATTCCCATCTGCACTCCCAACCCCATCCACACCCCCATCCCCACCGGCACCCCTATCCTCCCCAATCCCCCACACACTCATATTCCCAATCCCCACCCTATAAAAACCAAGCCCCCGTGAACCTAAACCCACCCCCACATCCAAGCAGAATCCGGTTCCGACCCCACTTTCAACCCAGGGAAACCTCAGGTGCCCGGATGTGACGCCACTGACTTGCCCATTGGGGGTTAGAGAGAAGGGAAATTCTCCGGCTGACTGGCAGCTTGGGATTGGCGGAGAGAATAGGGTCAGGCTCTGTGAGTAGGCAAGGTGAGACGCTGACAACCCCAGATGGACGACCCAAAATAATCCAGCACCACTCCTCCTGCCAACCCTGGGCCACCTGTGCGCGGACTTCTGAGTCTGGGAGGGGCCCACCACCCACTGCCTCTTAAGCCCCAGGGAACTCTGGAGTCAGAGCTTTGCAAGACTGGTGGGGGTAGGATCTTTCAGTACCCTAGGAGAGGGCTGAGCAATCCCCACTCCCCATTCCCATCCCCAACCCCATTCTCATTCCCATCTGCATTTCCAGCCCCATCCACATCCCCATCCCCCACCAGCATCCCTATCCTCCCCAACCCCCTTCATCCTCATATCCCCATCCCCCACTCAAAAACCCCATCCCCCACCTCCACAGAAGCAGCATCCGGTTCAGCCCCCACTGTCAACCCAGGGAAGTCCCAGGTGCCCGGATGTGACGCCACTGAGTTGCGCACTGGAGTTAGAATTGAGATTCTCGGACTGACCCACAGCTTGGGATTGGCAGAGAGAAGGCAGGCCAGGCTGTGTGAGGAGGCAAGGTGAGACGCTGACAGAGGATTCAGTAGGCCTCCACCCAGATAGACAACCCCAAATAATTCAGCACTAATCCTGCTGCCAGCCTTGGGCCACTCGGGGGGGAACTTCCCAGTGTAGGGGGACCCACCTCCCCACTGCCACTTAAGTTGAAGGAGAATGTGGAGTCAGAGCTTGGTGTGGTCAATGTAAGACTGGTAGGGGCAGGTTCTGCCAGGCATCAACATCAGGACCCCAGGAGAGGGCTCAGCAACCCCCATCCCCATTCCCATCCCCTACCCCGTTCCCATTCCCATCCACCCTCACATCCCCCACCAGCACCCCATTCTCTCCAGCCCCCTACCACCCTCATAACCCCAATCCCCCACCCCAAGACCCCCACCCCCATCCACGCAGCATCCGGTTCCACCCCGTCACACCCACGTGCCCGGATGTGACGCCACTGACTTGCGCATTAGGGGGTTAGAGAGAAGCGCACTTCTTGCTCCGACCAGCAGCTTGGGATTGGCGGAGGGAAGGCAGCCCAGGCTCTGTGAGGAGGCAAGGTGAGACTCTGAGGGAGGACTCAAGAGGTCCCCACCCCAGATAGACGACCCCAAATAATCCTTTACGACTCCTGCTGTCAGCCCTGGGCCCCTCGTGGGTGGACTTCTCAATGTCGGGGGGGCCCACCACCCCACTGCCTCTTAAGATGCAGGGGCCTCTGGAGCCTCAGTTTGGTGTGATCAATGCAAGACTGGTGGGGGCAGATTACCAGGAATCAATGTCAGGACCCTAGGAGAGGGCTGAGTGTCCCCCATTCCCATCCCCCACTCTATTCCCATTCCCATCCCCATGCCCCACCAGCACCCCTACCCTCCCCAATTCACCACTACCGTCATACCCTCATTCTCTGCCCTCATCGCCATCCCTGTGGAATCTGGTTCCACCCTTGCTTTAAATACAGGCAGGCCCTGGGTACCCGCATGTGATGCCACTGACTTGCACATTGAGGGTTAGAGGGCAGTGAGGTTCTGGGTCTGAGGGGTGGCTTGAGATAGGCGGAGCTCAGTGAAGAAGCAAGATGAGACACTGAGGGAGGACTCAGGACACCCGCATCCCAGGTAGAGAGTCCCAGCTCTGGACCACCCTTCGAGGGCTGACTTCTCAGGCTGGGCCACCAACAGCTTCCTGCCTCCCTTCTACCGGTACCCCAACACCATCCATGCAAGTGACTCTGGAGTCAGAGTGTGGTGTGGTGTGACCGGGGAAGGGCTGCTTAGGAGAGGGCAGCATCCAGGCTCTGCCACACATCAAGGTCAGGAATTTCAGGGAGGGCTGAAGGCCCCTAAGAGCCCATTGTAATCCCCACTCCCACGAACTAAATGCCACTTCATTGCCATTCCCACCCCTATTCCTCAACCTAGATCCTCATCCGCTCTGCCTTTCCACCCACATCCCTCTCACCGAACCCCCACCCTCACCCTGGACGATTACGGCTGCTGCCCTTGCTGTCAATCCAGGGAAGCCCGCTGTACCCGGTTGTGATGCCACTGGACACTGACTTGCTTATTGGGGATTAGAGAAAAGCGAGGTTCTCCTTAGGGGCAGCTTGAGATCAGCAGAGGAAAGTGAGCCCAGGCTCTGAGGAGGCAAGGTGAGAGGCTGAGGGAGGTCTCAGGAGGCCCCCGCCCCAGATGGAGGGCCCCAAGTAATCCAGCACCACCCCTGCTGCCAGTCCTGGACCACCCAGGGGCAGACTTCTCCGGCTGAGCTCCCTCCCCGGCCCCCACCACAACGCCTTTGTTTAAGCCACAGGGGACTTTGGAGTCCTGGAGTCAGAGGTGGGTGTGATCAGGGAAGGCTTGGTTAGGAGAGGGCATGGCCCAGGTTGTCAAGAACCAAGGTCAGAAACCTGAGAGGCAACTGAGGTCCCCCAAGATCCCACTCTAACCCCCACTCCCACAAATCCGCCACTGCCTCGCTGTCCCATTCCCCATCTGTTGCTCCTCACCCACACTGGGCAGAATCGAGTTCCACTTCTGCTGTCAATGCAGGGAACCTCCAACGCTGTTGGGATGTCACATTGTGGGCCAGAGAGTATTGAGGGCATGGTTCTGAAAGGCCAGTTGAGATCGGCCGAGGGGAGTGAGCCGAGGCTCTGCGAGGAGGCAAGGTGAGACCCAGAGGAAGGACTGAGGAGGCTCCCATCCCAGATACAGGGCCCAAAATAATCTAGTGCAGCCCCTGCTGCCAGCCCTGGACCACCTTTCAGGGTAGGCTTTCCCACTCCCAGTGTCACTAAAGCCACAGGGGAATCTGGAGTCAGAGCTTGGTCTGCCTAGGGCAGGGCCGCTTAGGAAAGGGCAAGGCCCAGGCTCTGCCTGGTATAAAGATCAGGACGCTGAGAGGGAAATGAGGGCCCTATACCCACACCTCAACCCAACATCCCCACCTTCATTCACATCCCCAGGCCCATCCTCAACTGCATTTTGCAGAATCCATTTTTGCTCCCTTAGTCAACCCCTCGGAAAACCTGGGAATGGTGGTCAGGAACTCGGAGCCTGACATCTAGATCCAGGACTAAAGGAGGGAAGGGGCTTGGTATTGTGAGCAGAGCCTCAGGGGAGCAGACAGAGGGCCCTGGCCCTCCTGGGAGATGAGGGAGGCCTCAGGAGACCCAGCACCTCATGGCAGGGAGCCCTCCCCCCTGCTGTCTGAGAATGAGGTGCCTCCTCTTTCAGCCTCGGGAATTGGAGGGTTGGAGAATCAGGTCAGCAAAGGGGTGGGTTCCAGCCCTGCCAGGATCAAGGAAAGGAAGAGGAGGGAGGACTCAGGGGACCTTGGAGTCCAGATCAATGGGGACCTGAGCCCTGGGAGGTCCTGGGCATGGTAGCAACATGTAGCCTATGCTTCTTGCACCTTGGAGGTCACAGAGAGGAGAGGAATATGGTCTGATGAGTGGTACTTTAGTCAGCAGAGGGAGGAGTCCCAGGATCTACAGGACCCAAGGTGTGTCCAACTTAGGACTGGGAACACCCTGGCTCAGAAAGAATGGATTCCACAGAGTCTGGCTGTCCCGTGTTCTTAGCTCAGGAGGGACCAGGGCAGGGATGGCCCTAGGTGCCAAGCTCACTTGTACCACAGGCAGGAAGTTGGGAAACCTTCAGAGAAATTAGGTCTTGGAGTAAAGGGACAATATCCACTCATCTCAGGGGGTTTGGGGGTTAAGGAAGGGCAGGCCCCATCAGGAGTAAAGATGAGTAACTCACAGGCAGCCGTCAGAACCCTCACCCCAGAACCAAAGGGGTCAGCATGCAGGGGTGACAGGATATGGCTACTTCTCACTTCTGATTGCAGATTTCAGCTAGATGAGGACCTTGTTCTCAGAGAGTGATTCAGGTCAACACAGGGACCCTTGTCTGGTCGACAGACACAGTGGTCCCAGGATCTGCCAAGAGTCCTGGTGAGGAATGTGAGGGAGGATTGAGGGTACCCCAGGACCAGAATGTAGATGGTGACCCCACAGAAATCAGCCCTGCTCCTGTTGTCACCCCAAAGAGCATGGAATTGGCTGTCTGCAGAGGTCCCTCTCTTATCCTGGGATCATTGATGTCATGGAGGGGGAGGCCTTGCTCTGAGGGGCTGGACCCAGGTCAGTAGAGGGAGGGTCCCAGGCCCTGCCAGGAATTGAGGTGAAGATCAAGCAGGTGCCTCACCCAGGACACATGGGTTCCAATGAATTTTGATGTCTCTTGCTGTCCTTCCTCAGAGGACCTAGGCACATGTGGCTAGTTATGGGATCCCTGGTGTCCTGTTCCCTATCAGGCATGTGAGGTCTTGATCGGAGTTTCTCAAGCCAGCAAAAGAGTGAGATCCAGGCCCTGCCTGGAGAAAGGTGAAGTCCCAGAGTGTGTACAGAGGGGACCATCCACCCCATAAGAGTGGGGATGTCACAGAGTCCAGCCTACCCTCTTGATAGCACTGAGGGGCCAGGGCTGTGCTTGCAGTCTGCACCATAAGGGCCCATGGATTCCTCTCCCAGAAGCTTCAGGAACCAGGCAGTGAGGCTTTGGTCTGAGGCAGTGGCCTCATGTCACAGAGCAGAGGATGCACAGGCCGTGACAGCAGTGAATGTTTCCCCTGAATGCACATCAAGTGTCCCACCTGCCCCAGGACACATGGACTACAGAGTCTGGTTTCACCCTCCCTACTTTCAGTCCTGTAGGATTGATCTCTGCTGGCTGGCTGTACCCTGAGGTGCCTCCTCATTTCCTCCTTCAGGTTCTCAGGGGACAGGCCAACCAGGAGGACAGGATTCCCTGGAGGTCCCAGAAGAGCACCAAGGAGAAGATCTGTAAGTAAGCCTTTGTTAGTGTCTCCAAGGTTCGGTTCTCAGCTGAGGCCTCTCACACGGTTCCTCTCTCTCCAGGTTTGTGGGTCTCCATTGCCCAGCTCCTGCCCACACTCCCACCTACTGCCCTGACCAGTGTCATCATGTCTCTTGAGCAGAAGAGTCAACACTGCCAGCCTGAGGAAGGTCTTGAGGCCCAAGAAGAAGCCCTGGGCCTGGTGGGTGCACAGGCTCCCACTACCGAGGAGCAGGAGGCTGCCACCTCCTCCTCTGCTACTCTGATCGCAGGTACGGTGGAGGAGGTGCTTGCTGCTGGGTCAACAGGTCCTCCCCAGAGTCCTCAGGGAGACACTGCCTTCCCGACTACTGTCAACTTCACTCGCTGGAGGCAACCCAATGAGGGTTCCAGCAGCACCAGCCGAGAAGAGGAGGGGCCAAGCACCTCTCCTGACCCAGAGTCTGCGTTCCAAGCGGCACTCAGTAAGAAGGTGGATGAGCTGGCTCATTTTCTGCTCCTCAAGTATCGAGCCAAGGAGCCGGTCACAGAGGCAGAAATGCTGGAGAAGGTCATCAAAAATTACAAGCACTACTTTCCTGTCATCTTTGGCAAAGCCTCCGAGTCCCTGAAGATGATCTTTGGCATCGATGTGAAGGAATTGGACCCCACCGACCAGTCCTATATCCTTGTCACCTGCCTGGGCCTCTCCTACGATGGCCTCGGGGGTGATAATCAGATCTTGCCCAAGACAGGCCTCCTGATACTCGTGCTGGGCACGATCGCAATGGAGGGCTACAGCGCCCCTGAGGAGGAAATCTGGGAGGAGCTGAGTGTGATGGAGGTGTATGATGGGAAGGAGCACAGTGTCTATGGGGAGCCCAGGAAGCTGCTCACCCAAGATTGGGTGCAGGAAAACTACCTGGAGTACCGGCGGGTGCCCGGCAGTGATCCCGCACGCTATGAGTTCCTGTGGGGCCCAAGGGCCCTTGCTGAAACCAGCTACGTGAAGGTCCTGGAGCATGTTGTCAAGGTCAATGCGCGAGTTCGTATTCCCTACCCATCCCTGCGTGATGCAGCTTTGAGAGAGGAGGAAGAGGGGGTCTGAGGATGAGTTGCAGCCAGGGCCGGGGGAAGGGGGCTGGGCCAGTTCACTTTCCAGGGCCCTGTCCAGCAGCTTCCCCTGCCTCGTGTGCCTTGAGGCCCATTCTTCTCTCTGAGTAGAGTAGTCAGCGCTCTTAGTAGTGGGTTTCTGTTTCATTGAGTGACTTGAAGATGTATCTCTGTTTCTTTTAGAATTGTTCAAATGTTCCTTTAATGGATGGTTGAACTTCAGCATGCAAGTTTATAAATAGTAGTCAACTATATTGCTGTTTATGTAGTTAAGGAGTAAAAGTCTTGTTTTCTATTCAGATTGGGAAATCCATTCTATTTTGTGAATTGAGACATAGTAACAGCAGTGGAGTAAGCATTAAAAATGTGATTGAATTCACAGTAAAATACGTGAGATAAAGAAATTAAAAGATACTTAATTCTTGCCTTATATCTCAGTGTATTCTGTAAAATTTAAAAAATATATATGCATACCTGGATTGCCTTTAGCTTCTTTGTGAATGTAACAGAATTTAAATCTGAATAAACAATTCTCCCTGTTCACTGGCTCATTTCTTCTCTATGCACTGAGTATCTGCTCTGTGGAAGGCCCTGGGTTGGTAGTGGGGATGCTAAGGTAAGCCAGACTCACCCTACCCACAGGGTGGTAGAATCTAGGAGCTGAAGTCACATAATCAAGGTGGCGATAAGTCCTCTAAGATGTAGAGGAAAAGTAAGAGAGGGGTGTGGGTGTGGGGCTCCAGGTGAGAGTGGTGGAGTGTAAATGCCCTGTGTGGGGCCTTTTGAGCTTTGGGAAACTACATTTTCTTTTGAAGGAGTTGATTCTAATGAAGCTTGGTGAGTCCAGGGCCAGATTCTCAGAGGGTGAGAGAAAAGCCTGGTTTAGAAAGCTGCTCTGAGCAGTTCCTTTTCGACAGTGGATGAACAGAGAGGAGCCTCTATATGGGGCAGGAGTGGAAGGTGTCTTGCACTTTTGTCCCAGTATTGCTGAACACAGTGCATGAGCTAGGTGATGGACACCCATTATTTGCAAGGGTTTTCTGTGACATAAGGGTGTGTTTCCCCAGAAGCGAGACCCAGAAACCACTGGCCAGTTGCTTTTCCATCTGGCTGGGAGAACCAGAAATATTAAAAAGGTGTTCTAATTAGGTTATCTCAAGTGCAATTTGACCAATTTTAAGCATGGGCTAGATTTTAGATGGTAACAGAATGAATGAAAATAGTGGCATGGATGGAAAAGCAGCTAGGAGCAAGGGAAGGAGTTGGTCTTTGACTCAAATTCTAGGAACTTTGAGCTGCATCTGGCTGGGGAAACCTCCCACACACCTAAATTTTGAAGCACATTCTCTATGAGGCATTTCTTACTGAATTTTATTGATGAGACTTCCTTTTTTGGTTTATTATTCTGTGCCCTATTTAGTTGTATATTCTCTGATAAGTCCTAGAGAACAACGACAACAAAATCTCAGAATGCTAGGGTCTGGGGTCAAATAATATTAGAGATAACAGCCATCTGCCATTCCTTAAACTTCTAATTTAATTCCAGGCCCTGAGCCAGGTGCTTCACCTACATTACACACACTCCAACAGTCCTACTAGACAGGGCTTATCATATCTGCTTACAGATGAAGAATTCAAGGCTCACGGGGCTTGTGAATTGGGACATAATAACAGTATTTCCTGGGTATTCCCAGGATTATGTGGCTAGTAAGGAACAGGGCTGGAACCAGACCCCTGTTCTGAATCCCTTGAAAGCCCATGCTGTTCCCATTTCCACCAGACTCAGGCTGACCTCCTGACTTGTACTTCACTTCTCTGCTCAGCACTGTACCATGTCTCAGGTGACAAAAAGAAAGACCTCAAGGTCTTTCTTACTAAAAGTAGGCTTGGAGAAGGTGGCAATGAGAATCAAACACCATTTGGGCCTGGGGTGCACTGTGTTCCTTGAGAGCTGAGTCTGCCCATGGGCATTTCCCCTGGTCACTTCCATGTGTCCTGTCTCACTCTGGAACCTTACCTACTGATCAGCTTGTTACTGGTCACCACAGAACAGCTCAGAATCACCTGCTTACCTCCTGACAGGAAGCATTCCTTCTTTCAAAAGTCCTCTGGCTGTCCCATCTCTCACCTAGGAAGTCTTATGATATCAATAACCTTTTTGATATAAAATTTCACACAGGGACAGTGACTTTTGGACAACTGTGTACCACTCTGGTTGTCTTCAACACATTCATCCAAGTGTTTTCCAAATGGGTTGAGTAGAGTCTGATTTGCCATATTATCCATCAGTTTTTGGCATGTCACCCTGAAGTTAGAAGGCGTTTGGAACCACCTTGAAACTTGAAATTGGAGTTGAACAGGGTGTGTTATTTGGATTTCACCTCTGAACACATACACAGGTGAAATGTTTAAAACCAAAGCCTCCCTCATGAATATTAGATAGGGAAAACTTTGGAAGTCCCAGTGGAACAAACATCTACTTACTGAGGCTGAATTCCTAAATCCCTGAGGTACCCTAGGAGGTGAAAAATGATTCCTTGGAATACATGTCAGCTATGATGAAAAAGCAATAATTAAGCAGCCTTCTATTACCTCTTATCTGCTTAGCTGCCCCACAGGAAAATACTGGCTTTCAGTGTGCCTAGAGGCACCTGACAGAAGTTTAGGCATGTGGTGGAATCAAATGGAAGAGAATGTTTTCAGCCTACTTAGAGGGAGCTAAATGATAAGAACTTAGGAACACAAAAAAGGAAATAACAGACACTGTTGTCTACTTGAGGCTGGGAGGGTAGCAGGATGGAGAGGATCAGAAAAGATAGCTATTGGGTACTGGGCTTAATACCTGGATGATGAAATAATATGTCTAACAAACTCCTGTGACACTTGTTTATCTATGTAACAAACCTTCACATGCACCCCCAAACCTAAAATAAAAGTTAAAAATGTAAAGGGTATTGCAAAGGGAAGCCTTCCTGCTGAGACTTTCAAGATTCTGGGACAGTTGTGATCCTACATTTGAAAGCATCAGTCACATATTAGGCACTTGAATAAGCTGAATAACTTCAAGGCAAACAAGCTGGAGAACTTCAAGGCAAATCTGACCTTCTCAGAAACTCCTCCTGAAAATGGGGTGGATTGTGTAGCACAAAATTATAGCTTTTTATTGAGCACTTACTATGTAACAGTTTATGGGGGAGACTATAGTACTCGCCCACACCTTGTCTTCCTCTCCTTCCTTGACACATAGGAACAGCACAGTTCACTTGCAGTTAGGAGGAGAAAAGTGAGAATACCTTACTGCTGAAACATGAACAGAAACACTGTATGTCACATCCAGGCATGTGAGAGCCAATGTGCCATTTCCATGCTTTCTCCTTCCTTTAAATGGCAAAAATGGCAGCTTCAGGTTGAAATGATGGAATCACAAGGTGGAAGTAACTCGGATCCCTGGGTCATGTGGGAATGGAGAGCCTCTGCCAAACCGCATCAGAACTTAGGCGTGCATAAAATAAACTTCTGTTGTGTCAAGCCATTCAAATTTCAGGGTTTGTTGTATCAGCTAGCAGTTACTTTAACTGACACAGCTGCTATTTCTGTTGTTAGGTGTAAATATTTTTTATTTAAAAGGTAATAGTTTGTATATTTTTATTGCAAACATAGAAATGTAGATAATTTACAATTTTAATATTTGCAAAACTTCTCCATGGTTTAGCCCCCTCCTCAGGGGTCCCCACAATTAACTATCTAGTGTGTATTATTTTAAAGCTGACTGTAGGCTCTTCATTGACACATAAACTATAACAATATATTATTTTTATTTAATATAAGAGAATAATGATGTGGATATTGATCTGCCACTAGTGTTTGTCACTTCATAAAATGGATATGGGCTATTCCCACAACATTACATATATACAACTCTTTTGAAACTATTTTTTTTCCCTAGGGAAAAAAGAAAGAAAGAAAAAGAAAGAAAAAAAAGAAAGAAACAAAGAGAGAAAGAAAGAAAAAAAAGAATGAAAGAGAGAAAGAAAGAGGAAGAGAAAGAGGGAGAGAGAACGGGAGTCTTGTTTTATTGCCCAGGCTAGAATGCAGTCTAAAAATGGGTATTGAAAACCTCTTTTATGCCAATAATTGTGCTTAACAATGGAGACAGGAAGGAAGAAGGGAGGAAAATAACAAACAAGCAGCCAACCAATATTTCATTGAAACCTGTGAAATGCTATACAATTACTGAGGAGTGATTTATTTCCAATTATGTAGTCACTTTTAAAGTAGGTGTGATGTGGTACTGATAAGAATGTATGTTTCGTAGATTTGGGGTGGAGAGTTCTATAAACGTTTATTAAGTTTACTTGTTCCAGGCCTGAGTTCAAGTCCTGGATATCCTTGTTAATTTTCTGTCTCGTTAATCTGTCTAATAATAGCAATGTGATGTTAAAGTCTCCCACTATTATTGTGTGGGAGTCTAAGTCTCTTTATAAGTCATTAAGAACTTGCCTTATGTATATGGGTGCCCCTGTATTGGGTGCGTATATATTTAGGACCATTAGCTCTTCTTGTTGCATTGATCGTTTTACCATTATGTAATGTCCTTCTTTGTCTCTTTTGATCTTTGTTGCTTTAAAGTCTATTTTACCAGAGGCGAGAATTGCAACTCCTGCTTTTTTTGGCTCTCCATTTGCTTGGTGAATCTTCTTCCATCCCTTTATTTTGAGCCTTCGTGTATCCTTGCATGTGAGATGGGTTTCCTGAATACAGCACACTGATGAGTTTTGGCTTTTTATCCATTTTGCCAGTCTGTGTCTTTTGATTGGGGCATTTAGTCCATTTAAATTTAGGATTAATATTAATATATGTGAGTTTAATATTGCCATTAATGCTAGCTGGCTGTTTTGCCCATTAGTTGATATAGATTCTTCATTATGTTGATGCTCTTTACCTTTTGGTATATTTTTGGAATGGCTGATACTGGTTGTTCCTTTCTATGTGTAGTGCTTCTTTCAGGGGCTCTTGTAAAGCGGGCCTGGTGGTGATGAGGTCTCTGAGTACTTGCTTGTTCACAAAGGATTTTATTTTTCCTTCACTTATGAAGCTGAGTTTGGCTGGATATGGAATTCTGGGTTGAAAGTTCTTTTCTTTAAGGATGTTGAATATTAGCCCCCACTCTCTTCTGGCTTGTAGGGTTTCTGCTGAGAGATCTGCTGTGAGTCTGATGGGCTTCCCTTTGTGGGTAACCTGACCTTTCTCTCTGGCTGCCCTTAGCATTTTCTCCTTCATTTCAACCCTGGTGAATCTGACGATTATGTGCCTTGGGGTTGCTCTTCTTGAGGAATATCTTTGTGGTGTTCTCTATATTACCTGGAGTTGAATATTGTCCTGCCTTGCTAAGTTGGGAAAGTTTTCCTGAATAATATCCTGAAGAATATTTTCCAGCTTGGATGCATTCTCTTCTTCACATTCAGGTACACCTATCAGACGTAGATTAGGTCTTTTCACATAGTCCCATATTTCTTGGAGACTTTGCTCATTCCTTTTTACCC